TCTTTTATAGAAACCTTCTAAAAAATCTGTTAAAAAATCATTGACGCTGGTGTCCTTGCGATCACACTGAAATTTTTCGACGCACCTTGAAGTTGGGCGAGGACTTGCAGCGGCCCTGGTCGATGCGCCAGTGGTAGAAGGCGAGGTCGGACCTGTTGGGCTCCAGGACGCGACGGCCCTGGAAGTACGGCACCCAGTCCTCGCGGGACAGGCGGTCGGCAAAGTCCACGTAGCCGGAGACCTCGTAACCCTGCGGCGTCGTCATCTGCAGGTGGATGATGGTCTGCGGGACGGCGGGGGCAGAAGAGAACAGACGTTAAAAATGGATGAGGAAAGTGCGTTGCTAAGCCACACCGGGCATCTGTGGGGCTCTAGCAGTAGTGGCCCTGATTTTTTGTCATTTTTGATTTTTACGTGCTTTGTTTTTATCAAAAATGTTCTAAAATAAGTTTGTTTCTTTTAAAAAAAAAATCTGGAGGTGAGTAAAATTATTTTTACTCTCTTGAAGTTTTGACTCCAACAAATCTGCAAACTAACTTTTTGGAACACTGTATATGGAGGCTTTGAGACGACGGGGCTGACGTCGGCTGACGGGCTCAATGACTGCGTAAGCCCCCCTGCGTAAGCCCGGGCGGTGCGGAGCAGTGCCGCGGAATGATGCAGCGCCTTGTCAGACATTTGTCGCGCCGCAGAGCCTTGTCGGTAATGTGGTCAGGAATAGAGAGAGAGAGAGAGAGAGAGAGAGAGAGAGAGAGAGAGAGAGAGAGAGAGAGAGAGAAGAGTCGTGGTGGATTGTGTGGGGGTTGTTGTCTCGAGTGATGGAACACGCTCTATAAATTTCAACCCCGACGCCGCGGCGTGCTGCTCCTGCTGCGGCTGCTTCTGCTTTCTCTCTCGCAATCTCGCCGCGTGGCTCACCTGTCTCTCTCGCATACCGCTGCCGATGGTATATTTACTCGCTTTCGTCTCGCGTACCTCATTTATTTATCATTATTTTTTTGGCAGTGTACGACGCGCGGTATCGCTAACTACTTGGCCTCGGCTTGATTAACTGGAGGGACGGCGGCGATCGGGGCGCCATTAGAGAAGGCCTCAAGGGCCGGAGGAGCCGCGGGAGCCGAGGTCGACGGGGAGCGGCGCGCGGGAGCTCGGAGCAGGGAGGGGTCAGCGAGGTTTACTCCCCCCCTTTTGCTCGTCTCGCAGACAATAAATCGGTACAAGATGCGGCTCCTAAGGCACCGAAAAGCTCTGCTGCCCGAGCTCTACCACCGCCGAGCACCGTCCGCGGCGAACCCGGGCTGCAGGTGCAGAGGCACTGCCAAGACTCCCCGCGCCAAGGCAGCTTACCAAGGCTTGCCTCCCTTCTCTCCCTCTCTCTCCCTCTCTCTCTCTCTCCCTCTCTCTCTCTCTCCCTCTCTCTCCCTCTCCCTCTCTTCCTCTCTCTCACTCTCTCTCTCACTC